ATACGTGGGATAATAATAAGGTTTGTTATATTCTTTCTGATAAATAATGTTAGTAAATTTTGAATTGTATCTTATAGGAACTACATTCTCATTCATCAATGTCTTAACAAACAAAAAATCAATTATTGTATGAACACCATTACTACTTTCCATATTGATCAAATTTTTTAAAGGACAGTTAGTTAAATTAAACAAAAATCTTAATTCAACATACTTATTATGTAATTTTTTGTGTAAATCTTTTTGGTATACATTTTCATACTCCGTGGCTTGTACATAAGGTACATCCAAATCAACCACTAACTTTTCTTTAATCACTTCTCTGATTTTACTCAAATTTGGATCACTTGAAGCCATCACTAAAATCTTTTGATTTATTGTGTGTATGCTAGATAACTTCAGTGTTTCTGATTTTAACCTTTCAAAACTAACTTGGTAACTTGTATTGGGTTTATTATAAATAGAAGTGACTATTGAAAATGGTAAATTAGAACAATATGACTCTACTGGTAATAAGAGTTCAAATAATTTATCATCAAGTAAATAAAATCCTTTAACTGAAAAATGTGTTTTTAAATTGTCTTTAACATACATTTCAAGTTTACTTGCCTTTTTTTCTATTTTAAACATTTTAAACTTTTCAGTAATATTTGGTAAAAACTTAAACTCCGATTTAAACATTTCATAATATTTCTCATCATTAACTTGTAAGTATAATTTTCTAGTAAAATCTTTTCTTTTTACACTCTTATTAAACGATGTAATTATTAACTCATCCTTTACACTACTAACCTCATAAATACTTTCAACACCCGCAATTCTTTTATTATAATGTCTTATCCACTGATCTTTGTATTTTAGTATGAATTCATGAAGTGTTAGATTATAATTTGGCTTATTAATATTTTCATTTTTATAAGGTATAACACAATCTTCAGTAATCACCTTATCATTTAAAGATTTCTTCAATCTTTTCGATGTATAAAAAACATTCTCAACATCAGTTTGTTTGCAAGA